AGTGGCTCAGACATCACCTCCTCCAGGAAGCCGGCTCGCCATCTCCCACCAGGGTGTCCCATGAGCCAAAAGCAGCCAGGAGCCCCACAGCTCCAAGCTGGCCAGTCCATCCCAGTTCTACCTGGGGGTGCGGTGCAGGCTGCGGTGCAGTAACAGCGTCACTGGGTCCAATAGTGTCCGGACAGGCTCCCTTCACATGAGGACTGGCCCTGCAGTGTGCTTGACATGGCTCTGCAGGTGGGACATGCCAGCAGGGGGGACGCAGCCCCGGTGTCGGGGGTCGTCTGACACAAAGGTGGAAACCGTGGGTCTAATCACTCATAGGTCCATTTACTTGTCCAGTGAGCACCCACCACGTGCCGACACCGGGGAGCAAGGGGCAGGCCTGGTCCCTGCCCCACGGGGCTCACTGCACAGCGTCCAGTGTCAAAGCACAGCCGTGAGGTGAGAACTTGGAGGAGGGAACAGGCTCCCCCCGCGGCTCTGCTGGGAAAGAGGCAGGGGAACCGCACAGACAGATGCCCCACGCAGGGGGAAGCAGGATGGGCAGGGGGGCGAGGAGAGACTGGCTTGCCTGTGGAGGCGGCAGAAGCAGGAAGGAGTCTTGCACAGAGAGCGTTTTGTCTCTATTCCAAGAGCAGGGAAGAAACTGCTGGAGTATCTGGTTTTTATTGTTTCGTGGGGTTTGGGGGAGGGGGTGTGATCAGCTTCATGAAGTGAACTGTGAGAGCCATTTAGGGGTAAAATGGACAAGACAAGGGGGTGGGTCAGGAGAGCTTCCAGACTCCAGGCTCAGAGGAAGAGCTGCCCTTCCCGAGATGGAGAGAGGGGAGAGCAGGGCAGGGGGGCAGCTGTGGCTTGAATTAAATGGCCCGGCTCTCTCCCCTCTGGAATTCTGCAGGGACAAGAGTGTCTGGGAGACTCCTCGGGGAGTTCCAACCTCAGGACCCAAGAATCAGCCCAAGAATCCACCCCCACCCTGACTGCTGGGAACACTCTGGAAGTCCTGAGGTCAGTCTAGAGCCCGGTGGCCTGAGCCAAGCCAGGGGACCCTAATACTCCATCCTGACCCCTCCCGACACTCGGACCAGGGGCCCAGGTGACAAAACACAGGGGACCCAGCATGCAGGACAGCCTGGAAGGATAGTCCTCAGTGAAGCTGCCTTCAGGGCCCAAGACAATTCCAGGCATTTTGCCTGGATCTGTTTGTTGGAATTGTCTTAAATGCCTGCAGCTAGGGCCTTTATGAAATCGGTATGCATATTCATGCAAATCGTATGCAAATCACACCACCCCCAGATCAGCTGGAGGAAAATGTCGCTGCCTCGTCCTTCCCCCCTCGCGGGTGGGAGGAGGGTCAGCTCCACCAGAGCAGCTGTGAAGACGGAAGTCCAGGAGGGACCTCCCCGTCCGCCCTCACACCCCACAGATGGGGAAACTGAGGCCCGAAGGAGGAGTGGATCCAGCATGTCCAGGCGGAGCATTGCAGCATCTCCAAAGCCAGGGCTTCCTCCTTCCCTGAGAGAGTGAGCAAGGTAGGACTGCCAATCGGGCAAGGTCTAGAATTCTCAACAGGAGGGAGGGGCCTTGGCAGAGTCTCCAAGATGCCTCTGATAAGAAATGGTAATATTTGCTTCTTAAATCAACTCCCTGGGGCCAAAGCCAACAATACCCTCCCCAAATAAAAAGTCAGCTCCAAAAATAAAGCATCTGCCAGCCCCTGCATGGATTAAATGTCACCGCAAAGAAGCGGAGGCGTAGGGAATCTTCCTCCATGGCACCGAGCGCGGGGTGCTGACCGGCTGCACCCCTGCTGTAGGCACCCCCCGGAGATTCCCTGGGCCCCATGCCTGCCCCGGGGGGGGGGGGGGTGTCCTGTGCAGGTGCTTTATGGCCTTGAGTCTCTTCCCCACAGGCAGGCAGGCAGATCCCAGCAGCCCCATGCACAGATGAGGCAACCAAGGCTGGGGGACATGAAGGGTTCACAGAGAGCAGGTGCAGGCCTGAGACTGGAACCCGGGTCCCACGGAGGGTGTGCAGGCCCCCGGGTCTGCCCCTCTGAGTTCCAGAAAGTGTGTGTGCTACGGGCAGGTCCATGGTCCCTCTAGTGTGGACCCTGAGGGTCCCACGATACACCTACACAGGCCTGTAGATGGAACTCAAGCTCCTCTGTGTGCTGGCCACACTAGAGCCCCCAAAGAGACTCTCCAGGGCAGGGAGCCAAGCACAGGACTCGCAGCCTCATGCAGGCTCCCGTCTGCAAAATGGGGTAGGAGCAGGACTTCCCACACTGGGGGAACACGCGGTTGTGGTGAGTCCAGACCTGGAACATTAGTGCTAGAAAGAACCAATCAGGAAGGAGGACTTGGAAAATTCTGGTGGCTATGGCCGCCAGCTCCTCCTTCTGTGGGTGAGAACAAGAGGCCAGCCAAGTCACCAGCTCTGGCCTCCAAGGCTCCCCTTCCAGGCCCTCCAGGGTTCACGTGGAAGCCCACCCACATACCACCACCACCACTCCCCCCCACACACACACACACTCCAGTTCCCAGCTGGCCCCCAGGCACTTCTGGGGACAAAGAGAGACAGAGGCAGGCGGTCCAGGTCAGGCCAGGCTGAGCCCTGACTGCAAGCTGGTCTCCTGCAGGCTCCTCTCTCCGCCCCCTGGCCCCCTACTGCTCCCCCGAAGCTGCCAGGGGACCCCGTGTTGCCCTGCCCAGCAGCTCCTCCCTCACTCAGGTCCACCCAAAGGGGCAAGCCTTCCTGCTGGCACTCACCGATGCCCCCGAGGCCGTCCTGCAGCAGCTGCTGCTTCGCGTCCAACGATGTACACACCTGTGTCCAGCAGCCCCATCCTTGCCTTTGCTCACATGGGTCCCCCGGCCTGCAGTGCCCTCTCCCTGTTGACAGAGCAAATCCCTATGGTGCTGAATCCCTGCTGGGTCCCTGGGATGGGGTGCTGCCCCCTACATGCTCCCACACCCTGGCCTGCCCTCCCTGCATGAGCTGTCCAGGGATGAGCTGGGGTCTCCTGGAGGACCAGGCCTGGTACCCAGGAGCAGCAATGACCACGTGGCCATGGGCACAGGCTTTGACCTTCACAGCCCATCCCCCATGCGCCCATGGGTGTGGCCATCCGGTGTGGTCACTTTGGAACCTGCCTGCTCCCAGTGGGCAACATGGTGGCACCACCCCAGTCTCGATGATTAATAATGTGCTGGGTCCCCAGGGTTCTGAGAGAGGAGGTCGCCATGGAGGCGGCGAGGCTGCCTGGGAGGAGGGAGAGAATCAGGTTTATGAAATGGTGAGAAGACATCAAAACACGGGGTCCCCAGAAGGTGTGAGCCCATAGGTCTTGCCACGGGGGCTGGTGTGAAAGCAATCACACGCCATCTCTGTGGGGAGGTGGCACAGCCAACTCCAGAACTTCCCGTGGCGGACAGAAGACAGAGCTGGCAGGTGGACGTGTGGGGTCAGGGACAGCAGACACCTGGGACTCAGACACACACCTGGGGGCGGGCACACACACACGCATCCGGGGTGCAGAGCTCGGGCTCCGAGCAGGAGGTGGGGGAGGAAGAGGAGGAACAGGTGGGGCCTGGACTCACCGCACCCCCCAAAAGGCCAAGTCATCTCTGTGCCAGTGGCCAGCCAGGGGCAAAGCCACCTCCACGCGATCCTGTGAAGATTCTAGTCTTGCCGAGATGGCGTGATGGGAAAGTGGGGTGAACCCCTGGGAGGAGGGGATAGAAGCACCCACGTCTTCATTGGGCTGGGAGGGAGCGGGGCTACCCTCAAAGGAGAGGGAACCAGGGTGCCCCCAGAGTGGGGAGGGGCTGGGGCACCCCAGAGGAGAGGGGGCTGAGGTCCCCCTTGGAGGAGCTGGGCTGCACATGGACAAAAGGACTGGGCCCCCAGTGGTCCACTCCTGACCCCACAGGTCTCAGAGATGAGGCTGTGGGCACCAGCCGGGCAGCTCTAGCTGGGTCGCTGGGAGAGGCAGCCCCCGAGACAGGAGATGGATGAGGAAAGAGCCTGCCAGGTCAACACTGGGGACTCAGGAAAGATGGTGGTCACAGAGACGGAGCCAGTCTACACCCCCAGCCCAGCCAGCCCCCAGGAGCCCCACTGCCCACGGAGAACAACTGCTGTTTCACTTCCGTGGTCCCTGGGAGGCAGACCCCAAAACACATGGTGACAGAGAGAGGTGGGTCCACCCACAGCCCCAGGCAAGGCACAGGCAGGGTGGACTCGGAGGGGCCATCCAGCGGGGGTCTCAGGCGGTGGGCAGCTGGCTCTGCAGGGACCAAACTCACGCTCCGCTGGCCGCCAAGTGTACCCCTTGCCATCCAAACACAGAACGCGAAGGAGGGCCCACTGGGCAGGCAGGTGTGGGCACCCACGGCAGAACACACGTAGGTGAGGGTGACACCACGTGCTCCTTCTCAACAGGGGTCAGGACAGGGCCTCGGAAACCCGGGCCTCAGCACCGTCTGACCCGCACTAACGCCCTCCAACTCCTGTGCCGCCCTTCGCCAGGGGCCTCCCGCCTGGGTCTGACCAGCAGAAGTGTGTCTGCGTGTGCGTGCGTGTGAGCGAGCGAGTGTGTGCAGGCCCTCTGGGAAGGATGGGCACCCCACATAGACCTCAGCGGTGCGTGCCTGTCCAGCGCGGGGGACCCACCGCTCCTTACAGGAGCGGGCTGTGTGTGCCGCGGGCCGTGGCCTTCCGGCCCTCTGTCGTGGCCACGCCCAGCCTGCCCACCTCCCCAGGCCTCACGACCCCTCCCTCCTGGGTCACCATGGCGCTCCGGCACCTCCAGCTCATTTAACCGGAAGCTTCCAAGAGCAAAGCAGGAACTCGGGAGCCTGGTCTGGCCAGGGGGCTGAATCCGACGTCATGGGAGCCCCTCATCCAGTTCACGCCCGCCCCTCCACTGCCCCCGGCCGGGCAGCTGCCCGGGCGTCCTGCGGCTCCTGGTGTGTCGTCATTCCCACCCCCAGCAGGGCCCGCACGCCCAGGCTGGGGGCTGGGGGGGGGGGGCAGATCGGAACTCGGCGCCTGTGAGTAACCTGCTGGCAGGGGCCGGCCTGGGGCTCAGGTTCCCCAACGCAGGGCGCGGAAACCGCTATGGCAGGGCCGCCCCCACGCCGCCTGAGAAGCTGGACCCTACCGGCCCTGAGAATTCGGCCATCAGCGTTCCTCCGCCTCCTAGGAAGCCTCCAAACTCTCTCTGCCCCCGACCGCAGGAAATGAGTTTCTCTTCAACTGCTTCCAAGCAGGCCTCTGACCCTCACTACTCGCCTGAAATTGGTGATTAACAGACCCCAGCCTGTCATTCTCTCTCTTCCGTGCGTCAGCGGCTCTTAGCAACAGCTGCCCGCCAGCTCGTGCTTGGAGCTCTGAGTCTGCCTGGCTCCCCAGCCAGGGGCTCGCCCACTCCCGCCCCCTCCCTCTGGCCAGGGGCTTGCCTCGCTCCCGCCCCCTCCCGCCCCCTCCCGCCCCCTCCCGCCGCCACAGCCCGCGGGCCATCCACACACCACCGCAGAACCCCGCTCCCTCCCAGCCACTTCCTTGGCCTCTCCTGGTCCCCTTGTCAGGAACCGGGTTCCCTGGCATGGGGATTCTGCTCAGAGGAGGGGCTGGGGGGCTGGGGGTAGGGCAGGAGGAAGCACTCGGCCTGAGCCCTGGGAGCTCGGGGATGCGCATGGCTCCCCTGTGGGTCCCCTCTTGGCCAGGGTGCGCCTTCTGTGGCCTGCCCACCTGTTGGCTGGGGGAAGTGATGGGGACAGTCTCCATGCAAGGAGAGCCTGGCCTCCCAGAGGAGAAGGGGACTGGTCGGGCGAGAGGAGGGCCACCTGTGGGCAGCAGGGCTCTCCACTGCTCGGGGGGCTCTGTGAGTTGGGTGGAGAGACGAGGGAAGTCTATCACTGAAGCCCTGGAGGGACGCTTCTCCAAAGCTCCCAGGGAGCCCAGACAAAGGTCATGCAAAGGTGTAAAGAGCCGAGCCCAAGACCCCCAAGAAAAGGGTTCTGGGGCCACTGACAGAAGGTTCCTGCAGACCCCGCAGGACACAGAGCCTGTAACCCCCTGGACTGGCCAGGAGGCTGCCCCGGCAGAAAGAAGGGAAGGGGGGACCATTCCCCTGGGGATGGGAAGCGAGACACCTGCTGGACCGGGAAGCCAGACCCAGCCTTCCGAAGCCCCCAGGGAAGCTCCTGCCAGGGGTCTGCACCCTCCTCACCTCGGCTCCCTGGACCAGCCCACCCTGCACCAGATTCCACCCGTGTCCTGACACCTCTGTGAGAGCCAAGGAAGGCAAGTTGCCCAGCCCTCCCTCACCTGGTCAGAAAAATGACCTGAAGTTTTTAATCCCTTCCTAGTGGGAGGAGCCTTCAAGGCCGCAACCCAAAGGGCGGGGAGGTGACCCTGGGAGGTGACAGAGGAGGGAGCATGGGCCCCAGAGCCGTGCACCACCTCGGGGTGCAGATCCCCACTCCCGCCACCAGGGAGGCTTCATCTGCCCCCTGCCCCAGGCCACTGCCCTCCTGGGTGGAAGAGAGGCAGGACCACCGGCTGCCCCAGGAGCCGTCCTGAGGTGGAGCAAAGCCCACGGGGGTCAGTCGACGGGGTTGCTCGGTCTGGCCCCTCATCATTCCCTTCCTCCCCCTGAAGCCCAGCCGCTACGCGGGACCCACAGAGTCCTCCACTCACGGACTACAGTGATGGAATATGCACCTGGATCATAGAATAAAGTAATGGGATCACAGGAACCAAAACGGAGCCCTAGACGCCCAGAATAGAATCACTGCACACTTAGGTCTAACCACGGAGCCGAGTCATAGAACTGCAGGACAGGCCCAGAGGAGGTGCCGCTCCCAGGGACCCCCCCCGTCTAAACCCCTCCATTCCCGGTGAGGAGACGTGGAGGGAGCCACAGGGCTGGGGCTTGGGAATCTCAGAGAAACAGCTGGCCTGCAATGAGCTGCCTGCAGTTCCACCCAATAAGTGACTTCTGAGCACCCCGAGGGCTCACCCCCGGGGCCCCAAGCAGGAAAGCGGAGAGGAGGGGCAGGCTGTGTTCTGGGACAGGCTGGGGTCCAGCCAGGGCCGCCTCTCAGCAGTAAAAACACCTGGCAAGGCAACTGGGGGCCCAGTCACCCCAGGAGATGGCACGTCCCAGGGTCTTCGTAAACTCATTCTCTGGCCACCTTTGGTTTTGCTTGTTCTGTTGTGTGATTCTCTTTTTTTACTTTTTATTTCTTCCTTGCAAGATGAGATCAAGGAAAGGTCTTTGAAACAAAATGCAACATTTTTCTTCCGTGACAGATCCTGTATTGATGGGCTCAGCAATGAACCCCACTCTGAGACGTCCCTGTAATTAGTACTACGCAGAGCAGTGACAGACAGGCAGGCATGCCCCCTCCCTGGTCCCAGGGGGCAGCCAGGCCCCCCCACCATTCCCCTGCCTTCTCCCATCCCCCAAGCCCCAACTCCTGCACCTCTGGGCCCAGCGTTCCTGGCTGCTTGAATCACGGCTGGTAACCCTGGAGTGGAGCTGGGTCCACAGGTGAGTTCCAGGCACCAGGACTGCACCTGGGGATTCAGGTCCAGGGCAGAGCCTGGGGCACAAAACCTGTATCTCACACCCACCCACGCAGGAGATGGTGGGATTAACTAAACACGAGGCTGCACATCGCTGAGTCCAACCCCCCTATTACAAAGGGGGCCCAGGGAGGGGGAGGAGTTCTCCCAAAGCTCCCAGAGCCGGGAACAGGGCCAGGATCCTGTGCCAGCCTTGTGCCCCTCAGCCCCCACCACGCCAGCTCAGAGAGGGGCCGCAGAGTCAGGCTGGAGACCTCTCCTCCTGCAGGACTGGGGATGGATGGGGTGGGGCTGAGGCTCTGAGGTTCGAGGCAGGCTGGTGGACGCAGGGTGGCGCTGTCCAAGGGACTGACAGAGTTTGTTTGGCTCTCCCTCCCTCAGTGGTGCTAGTGGTAAAGAACCCGCCTGCCAACGCAGGAGATGCAAGAGATGCGGGCTCGATCCCTGGGTCGACAAGAGCCCCTGGAGAAGGGCACAGCACCCAACTCCAGTATCCTTGCCTGGAGAATCCCATGGACAGAGGAGCCTGGCGGGCTACAGTCCACGGGGTCACAAAGAGTCAGACAAGGGATACGACTGAAGCATCTTCACACTTGCACTCACACTTCCTCCCTCAGCCTGACATCTGGGGACCAGAAACCCCTGTCTGTGCAGCCTCCATATTCACAAATGCTTCTCATCACCAAGCTGGCTGCTCTTTGTGACTGTCAAGGCCCAGCTTCAACATCACTGATCCTCCTCCTCCAGGAAACCTCCTGGATTGTCCGGAGTGGTTGGCTTCCCAGACTTGCTGAGCACAGATTAACTGAGTCTTGTGTTATAATTAGCTATGTCTGGAATGTCCACCTCATCCCTGGGGCCAGACTGTGTGATCTCTTTGGTGGGGGCGGAGGTGGACAGAAGGGATCAAGACACAGCCTGGGACCAGGGGCAGCACTCAGCATGTGGCTGAGATCAGAGCTCAGAGTGTAACCAGGTTCAGCAGTCAGTGACCTCAGCACCTCCTATGGGGGAAACTTCCACAAAACTGGGAGAACCTTTGGTACAGGCCCTCCCAACCCCCCCATTTGCTCTGTGTCCACTCAAGGGGCCCTTTCTGCAGGCCCCCGGCTCTCAGCCCCTAGCCCCTCCTAGCCCCCCAGCTGGAGCAGCCTTCTCGGGGGCCCGAGAGGGGAGGAGACAGGAGCTGCCCACCCCCTCAACACCCTGCCCCTGCCATGCCCTGCTGCAAGCTCTGACTGCTTTTTTCTCAGTCCTGGGGCTTGAATTCAAATAGCCAGTTCATCGGGATTCTCACAGCACCCTGCGCTGTCTCCAGAGCCACTTGACCAAAGGGAAGAACCCGGCGCCTTGCTCACAGCGGCAGCTTAGGCCAGGCCAGACTGCCGCCCTGAGACCACAGTCTTTGGTTCGCCCATCATCAGAACGGGGCTGACCCAGGCGTCCTGAGAAGGCAGAAGGCGTGGCTCCCCTTCTTGGGGAGCGACCAGTCCATCCTGGGCCCACTCTTGACCCAGTCCATCCCTGGGGCTCTCACCTCCAGCCTGGCCACCCCACCAGCTTCCAGACCCAGACGGCCCCACTCCTGGGGATCTCACAAGCCCCTCAAACTCAGCCTGTCCACCCCTACAGCTCTTCTGATCCCCCTTGGGGTGACCTTAATAAGAACTGCTTTAGGGGGTGCGGGAGCATTCCAGATAACAGTAACAAGTGTCCAGGGAGATGCTGGACACACAGCAGGCTCTTGAGACGGGGTCACAGCCCAGCACCCCCTAACTCACTGGAGAGAAGGGGAGCTGGTGGAACTACAAGTCAAGCCGGTGGGGGGCCATGAGGCTGGGAGTCTGCGGAGGACAGAGCCCAGAACATGTCCCCTAGAAGTCAGGCCCTGTCTGAGAAGAGACGTGGGGCCCCAGTGGGATGTGTCACCAGGTCTGAGACTGGGAGCCGCCCCAGCAGGTATGGCAACGTGGACAGGCTCCTGGCTGTGTCCGCCTGTCCCTCTAGGGCCAGCCCTCCCTGCACTCACTCCCTTGTCCCCTCCTTGGGTCTCGGGGCTGACACCCTCCTTGTCCCCCTCTCCAGCACACCCTCCTGACGGAGCCTTTCTGCTTGGGGCCCCTTCTGTCCGGAACTCTCTGCCCCCTATCAGAGGCACTCATGCTTTCACTTTATCAGGATCTCTGCTCAAAGGCTCCCTCCCTCAAGAGCCCTTGCAGCAGCCTGCCAAGCCAACAGAGCCATGTAGCCCCTCTGCCCCTGTGTCTTAGAGCTTTCTGGATTCTGGGGACCATGTTCCTGTTTGCTTTCTGCCTGCATCCTGTGGGATTTGGGAGCAGGAGCACCCAAACCAGCCTGCCTAGGTTCACAGGCCAGCTCCCTGACTTCCCAGCTTCTTTACCCGTGGAGACTGCATTCTTATGTCAAGAGTCGTCACTGGGACTGATTGCCGATGTATCCTCAAGGCACTTGCTTCCCTGGTGGCTGAGATGGTAAAGAATCTGCCTGCAATGCGGGAAACCTGGGTTCGATCCCCGGGTTGGGAAGATTCCCTAGAGGAAGGCATGGCAACCCACTCCAGTATTCTCACCTGGAGAGTCTCTAAGGACAGAGGAGGCTGGTGGGCTGCAGTCTATGGGGTCTCCAAGAGTCAGACAGGACTGAGCAACTCAGCACAACGCAGCACACCCTGGCTGGGCACAGGGGAAGGGCTGTG